AGATCCGGAGGACCAGGCTTTATGAAAAGAAGCATGGCCCTGGGCCTTGCCTCTGCTCCAGACTCAATGGAGTTTGTAACAGCTCTGGAAGACCTCCAAGCTGAGGCTAGCTGTCCCCTCTGTCTGGGATACTTCAGAAGCCCAGTGACCATGCCCTGTGGGCATAACTTCTGCCTGCCCTGCATCAGGTTGTCCTGGAAGGGCACACAGAACACTTTCCCCTGCCCTTCTTGCCAGCTTGACTGTCCAAACAGGAAATTCTCAAGCAATCTCCAGCTGGGTAGCTTGACTAAGATCGCTAAGCTATTCCCCACTAGAAGAAGCAAGAGGAAAACACTAGAAGGGAAGCTCATGTGTAAGAAGCACAAAGAATCCATGGCCTTCTTCTGTGAGAAGGACCTGGTGGTTTTATGTCGCCAGTGCTGCTCCACTAATCACCAGCATCACCGGGTTTGGCCCATAGAGAAGGCTGCGTGCTTGCACAGGAAACAACTAGCATATTCCATGGAGCTATACAAAGACAGGATGGAGCGAGTGAAGAAAGTGCTAGCCTTGCAGGGGAGCAGACCCCTGGAACTGAAGAGAAAGGTAGAGCGAAGGAGGAAAGATATACACTTTGAATTTGAACATCTTAGGTTGTTTCTTGAAAACCGACAGGAAGCTCTTCTTAAGCAATTACAAGAAGAAGAAATAGTTAATTTAACGAAACTAAAGGAAAGCCTCGCCAAAACTTCAGAGCACGCCTCCTCAGTGAGAAGTCTGTTGAAGGAAGTGGAGAGGAAGTATGGACAGTCAGAAATGGAATTGCTGACAGACCTTAAGCATGTCTATGACAGCTATCGATGCTTGAAGAGCCCAGGAAACTTTTCATTCACCTTTGAAGACTTTGGAAACTGGCTTCCTCCACAATATTCAGGCCTCAACCCAATTGTCAAGTGCTTTCAAGCAGATGTGATTCTAGACCCTGAAACAGCACACTGCAGACTCAGCATCTCAGAAGATAGGAAAACTGTGCGATATGGACTCAGACAGAAGTTGCCTCCCCTAGCAAGCAGATTTTTTCTCTGCCCAGCTGTTCTGGGCTCTAGGGCATATAATTCTGGAAGGCAGTACTGGGAGGTAGATGTGAAAGACAAGAGTGATTGGATTGTGGGTGTTTGTAAAGAGTCTCTTCCCAGGAGGAAAAAGAATCAGAAACAACAACTCTTAAAACAGGATGGAATATGGGCAGTAGGACGGTGTAGCGGGTGTATTGAGTCTAATTATATTGCCTTGGGTCCTAAGAGAATCTCTCTCTTGCCAAAAGTAACTCCTAGTAAGATTGGCGTGTTTTTAGACATTGAAATGGGTGAGGTTTCCTTTTACAATTTGGATGATAGATCTCTTCTCCATACTTACAATAATGATCATTTTAATGAAGCACTTTTGCCTTATTTCTACATTGGAACTGATAGTAAACCCCTTAAAATCTGTACTGTAACAGATTCTGAGTGAATTATTGGAAGATTGGAAGACTCTTTTTCTGTTATTTGACATATCTGAGCCAGTTCATGTAATCAACAATTGACGTGACATCTGTAAGCCCAGCTGGGATTCAAGAGACCCTATCAATAACCAGCAAAAGGGGAGGAAAAAATAAGGGCTGAAAAAGTGACTCAAGTGCACGGCTTCAAGTGAATCTATTTTATAGATAACTAAGGAACACTAGCTCCCAATAAAATATTGGGGTTTTTTGTTCTCAATGTTTATGTATTTTCTCTTTTGAAAAAAAAATTAAACCTTGAGATGGGTACAATGGCTTCCACGTCTAATCTAGCACTCCAGAGGCTGAAGCAAGATCCTGGGTTTAAGGCTAAGCTGAGCTATATAGTGAGAGCCATCTCAAACACGAAAAAGTAGGAGAGGAGCGCCAGGTACAGATGGCTCTTGCCTGTAATCCTAGCTACTCAGGAGGCTGAGATCTGAGGATCCCAGTTAAAATGCAGCCTGGGCAGGAATGTTCGAGAGACTCTTATCTCCAATAAATCACCAGAAAATCGAAGTGGTGCTGTGGCTCAAGTGGTAGAGCGATCACCTTGAGCTGAAGAGCTGAAAGACAGCGCCCAGGCCCAGAGTTCAAGCCCCATGACTAACCAAAAGAAAAAGTGGGGGAGGTATGGCTCAAGATGTAGAGCAATTACCTAGCGAGCCCAGGGCCCAGAATTCAAATCTCAGTATCACAGAAAACAAAGAGGCGTGGGGGAATTACTTCAGAGGTTGGCTACTGCATAGCAAGACTGAAGCTCTGGGTTTAATCCAAAAAATAAATAAATATTCCTTCATCAATCTGTAGTTACGTTGTTTTTGTTTTTTTCTTCCTTCAGTCATGGGGCTTGAGCTCTGGGCCTGGGTGCTGCCCCTAAGCTCACAGTCTCCTGCCCAGGCTAGCTTCTACCACAGCCTTAGTTATTTTTTTATGGGGTCTCATGGAATTTTCTCCCCAAAGTTGGCAGTGAATTCCCAATCTTGGTCTCTTGAGTAACAAAGATTATAGGTATGAGCTGCTGGACATTGGACTTTGTGCCATGATTGTCAGATCTCAGCCCCCCTGAGTAGCTAGGATTACAGGCATGAGCCATCAGTACCCAATACCCAATTCTTCTGTGTTTGTGTGCCATTCTTGTGGCTTGAACTCAAGGACCTAGGTGGTGTCCTTCATCTTTTGTGTTCAAGGTTAGCATTCTACCACTTGAGCCACACCTCTACTTCCAGCTTTCATTGTCCCCTTTTTGGGGGGCAGGAGGTACATTAATTGTAGATAAATATATAGCAGGATTTTTCCTGCTAGGGCTGGCTTCAACCATGATCCTCAAATCTCCATCTCCTGAGACTACAAGTATGAACCACTGACACCAGGCATAATTCTTTACTTTGAACCATATTGTTGTCTGGAGGGGTAGAGCTAAATTATTTGGGAAGATGGGTATTAGCAGAAGAGTTGGGCTAACATGCAAGAATTGTTGCATGAATATGGTCCAGTAAAGAATTTACATATGTGAAGACAGAACAAAATCTCTTGTAACTGTTTTGGACAAGGAGATGAGTGAGAGGGAGATCAATGATGGATGGAATATGTATATGGAATACATTGTGTATGCATGTATACTTATGGTTAAAGTGTATGCTAATAGAAGAAATTAAATCAGAAAAACGTGACTCACCCTTCCAGGTTCCAATTTTTTTTCTTCTGCCTACCCCACCTGCTGTGGGTCACACCCAGGACATTGCAAGTCCTAGCTTGGCAAGCTTTCCACAGCTCGCCTACATCCCCAGCCACTGTTTGCTACGGGGCTTGGTGGGGAGGGTCATGTGGGTTGAATTTGGAGCCTGTGTACTGCCCCTGAGCTCACTGTATTTTATTCCTCTGTCTCCTTAAAAACAATTTCAACAGATTTCATTGCCAATTTATTTTTTTGGGGGGGCCAGTCTTGAGGCTTGAACTTAGGACTAGGCACTGTCCCTGAGGTTCTTTGACTCAAAGCTAATATTCTACTATGTGAGCCACAGTGCCAAAGTTTGTTACACATATTTTTATTAGCTTATATGCATTCCTTAAATACACCTGGATATTTTTCATTTTTAATACAGTTTTATTGTAAAAATACAGAGGGGTTACAGTTAATAGGGTAATGAGTACATTTCCTATCAAGCATTGTTACCTCCTTTTGTTTTTCCCCTATCATCCCTTCCCTCTCCAATTCACCCCAAGTTATAAAGTTGGTTTTCTTTCTTTTTCTTTCTTTTGGTTCCGGTCATGGGGCCTGAACTTGGTGCCTGGGCACTGTCCCTCAGCTCTTCAGCTCAAGGCTAGCACTCTACCACTTGAGCCACAGCACCACCTCTGGCTTTTTTCTGCTTATGTGGTGCTGAGGAATCGAACCCAGGGCCTCAGGCATGCAAGGCAAGCGCTCTACCACTGAGCTACCTTCCCAGCCCCAACACCTGGCTTTTGATGGTAAATTGGAGATAAGTCTTATAGATTGGTCTGCCCATACTGGCTTCAAATCATCATCCTTGGATGGTCTCATCCCAAGTAGCTAGGATCTCAGGCAGAGCCCAGACTGGTGCCCTGCTTTCCTGGCTTGCGCTGCTTTTTGTAGGGAGCCTTTGATGGACCTTCATGTTTTTTTCTCTCCTTGTTTACATAAACCAATGAACTCTTTAAAAAAATTAAGTAGCTAAGCTAAGATGTTCCAATTCCATTTGTCAGGTTGTGATTACAAAGCACCTTGCTCAATGTCACCCATCATTCTCCCCCTCACCCCTACCCTCCAGTGACATAGTTCAATGCACATAATATACAACATTACATAAGATACAGCATACGATGTACAGAATATACAGCAAGCCAATTAACTCTTGAGGAGCTCAGGTCAGTGCTGCCAGAAAGAGCAGCCTGTGTTCTGTGCACGGCTACACTTCAAGAAGCCCCTTCACTGTGCTGGGAGCATGTGTGCTTGTGTCTGTGGCCAGGGGAACCGCAGTCTTTGCTATCTTTGAGGCACAGGTCACAGAAGCCACAAAAGGGGACAAAAGAGCTCCCATGACAGCAGCTGGCAAAGCCTTGCCTATAGGGAGCACCCCTCCCTCCTTCCTTCCCTCCTTCCTTTCCTTCCCTCCCTCCCACAATAGGCCCAATGTGATACCACTCAACAAGGGGCAAGAAGCGCCCAGAGGGGCTATTCTGGAGATTACAGGGTGGTTACACAGCACCAACAGGGGCCCCATGGTTTGGACCTACCTTCTCCAACCACTACCAGTGCTTGGAGAATCAGCACCCCTCTGTCATCTCACCCAACTGTGGGGCAGTACAGGGCAGACAAGGGGTACCAAACATTCCAAGTCCTCTCCATAGAACATCACACACACACACACACGGGGTACCAAACATTCCAAGTGCTCTCCATAGAACATCACACACACACACACACACACGGTTACCAGTCCAGTCCATCATTCCTCTAGTCAAAACTGATAGAAAGAAAGGATGGAGAAATACATCTCATAGAGAAAAATGGCACAAGTGCACCTGTAAACTTAGAATTGAAAACATGAAGGCAGGATCGACATTTCAAATCATAAAAGGAAAGCTCTCCAAGCTCATAATCTAGAAAGGCACCAACCCTATCCACCAAGCTGGATTGTGTATGCTGGGTAATATTATGGCTTTCCCGCTTAAAGCAGGGTACCATCAAATCTTTTGAGGCAGATTTCTGAAACACCCCCATGGACCAATGCCCTGTGCCTTTTACCTCTACTTGCCAAAAAAACCTTCCGTTTTGAAGTCTCTCCTGGGTGTGGATCATTGCACTGAAAGGAGAAGGAGCTGATTGACCCACTAACGTCACAGTCTTTCTATCTTGGGAGACTTTCAGAACAGGATGTGAAAACTGAGGATTGAATGTCAAATCCACCCGAAATGTGCTCATCATTTTCTCCAGGCCAAAATAATGTGGAGGGAAAGGGTTATTCTCCATTAACTCATAGGAAAACACTCTGGGGGGGTGGATGGCTGTGTACCTCTCCTGAAGGCTCCTAACCCCTCTCAGCAAATCTACATCTGCTTGTAGAGTCTTCTCTTTCATTTCACTCAGTAGACTCTTCAGCATAGTGAGGTGCTCCAAGATCTCACTTGTGTTGGCCAGCAGCTGGGTTTCGATGGTTTTCTCATCATAATATAGACGGCTGATGCTCACCGAGCACTGGCTGCTCATAAAGTGTTGAAAATGTCTAAACTCCGATTGCAATTCCTCCTTCCACTTTTGTATCTTAGGAATCAGCTGAATGGACTTGGAAATTTGCCGTTGGTACTCTGTCTTGGCGTCTCTCGCCTGCCGTTTCAGGTGCTTCTTGCAGTCGTTCAGCTTCTCCTTCTGAGCTGCTGCGGCCTCACTGATGGGCATGAGGTGGTGCTGGTGGTGATCAGAAGAGACCCTGCACTGGGCGCACAACAGCTGCAGGTCATCATCACAGAACAAGCTCAGGACCTCACCGTGCTGCTCACACAGCTGCCTCTTGCTCTCAGAACCTGCCAGCCGCATGACGATGTCAACCAGGTGGCTTAGCTGCGTGTTGCTATGGAGGACATCGTTGGGACAATAGTGGAGGCAGGTGGGACAAGGGAAGGTGTCTTGGAGACCTTCCCAACACTGGAGGATGCAGGAGTGACAGAAGTTGTGTCCGCATTCAGTGGTCACCGGGTCACTCAGGTAAGCCAGGCAGATGGGGCAGGTGGCCTGTGCTTGGAGCTCAGCCAGGGAGGCTGCACAGGCCATGGTGTAGGGAGGGGCTGGTGGAGACTCAGTGGGTCCGCTCCTCTAGGGGCTCAAGTGAGGCTGTGACCCTGCACACAGCGGTGGCTGCCTCCTTCCTTCAGCTCTGCAAGCAGCTGCTGGGGAGGGATGGTCCCCAGACATGATCTTGAGGTCAACTCATGTTTGGCTATGACATCTTTCCTAGGAAGCAGAAAATGTGAAGAATCAATGCAAATGAACATGCATGTAAGCAGTTCCACTGTGGTTATGATTCTGATCAGATTTCTGCAACAGAAACAGAAAAAAACTAATGTTGAACAAAGCACGGAGGAGCATATATAGCAATAAAAAAGTACAGATGTTGGACCCAGGTGCCGGTGGCTCACAGCTGTGTGGCTCACACCTGTAATCCTAGCTGCTCAGGAGGCTGGGATCTGGGGATCCCTGTTCCAAGCCAGCCTGGAATGGAAAGTCTGTGGGACTCTTATCCCCAATAAACTATCCAAACAAAACAAAAGGCAAAACTGGAGCTTTGGCTCTAAAGAAACTTAGGGACAAAGCCCAAGCCCTGAGTTCAAAACCCAAAAACAACACAAAATTACATATTATACACACACATACACACACAGATACACGACTCTTTTTTTTTTTTTTTTTTGCCAGTCCTGGGGATGAACTCGGTCTGGTCTGCCCCTGAGCTTCCTTTGCTCAAGGATAGCACTCTACCCTTGAGTCATAGCAACACTTCCAGCTCTTTCTGTTTATGTGGTACTGAGGATCAAACCCAGGGTTTCATGCATGCTAGGCAAGCACTCTATTCTTAAGCCCATTTCCCAGCCCCTAATTTTTTCCTGATTGAAACTTGTGTCTAAAAAAATAATAGACCCTGAGATATAACAACTTGGCACTGACACAAAAATAGGCCTAAAGAACAATGCATCGGACTAGAAGACCCAGAAATACAACTATATACTTACAGCTATCTGATATTTGAGCAGGGAGCCAAAGATTTACAGTGGAAAGAAGATAGCCTGCTTAATAATTGATGTGGGGAAAACTTGGCATCCATATTCAGAACATTAAAAAATGGATCCCTGTTTGTCACCATGCACCACCAATATCAACTCACAGTGAATCAAAGACCCTAGTGTCAGACCTGAAAATTTGAAATTGTTGCAGGAGGGAGTAGGTGAAACACTAAAACTTAGAGGAATGGGGAGACAGAGTCCCAAGAGCAGAGCAAATAGGAAAGAGATTCCATCAAAGTAAAAAGTGTCTGCACAACAAAGGACATAGCTACTAAACTAGAAAGACAGCCACCAGAGTGGGAGAAGACCTTTACACCAAAAATATGTCTGACAAAGGCCTAATACCCAATATATACAAGCAGCTCAAGAAACTAACCCCTCCCAAACCTAACAAACCAATCAGTAAATGCCCAAGGGAGCTAGGGAGAGGCTTCTCAGAGAAGAGTGTAAGAATGCAAAGGAAACAGGAGGAAATGCTCTTCATCCCTCTTGGCCATAAAAAAATGCAAATCAAAACAACTCTGAGGCCGGGCGCTGGTGGCTCACGCCTGTAATCCTAGCTACTCAGGAGGCTGAGATCTGAGAATCACGGTTCAAAGCCAGCCCGGGCAGGAGAGACCGTGAGACTCCTATCTCCAATAAACCACCAGAAAACCGGAAGTGGCGCTGTAGCTCAAGTGGTAGAGCGCTAGCCTTGAGCTGAAGAGCTGAGTGATAGCGCCCAGGCCCAGAGTTCAAGCCCCACGACCGACCAAAAAAAAAAAAAAAACTCTTGAGATTTCAGGCCCCCCCCCCCCCCCCCCCCCCGTTAGATTGGCCAACATTGTGAATTCCAACAACAAAAGCTGGCAGGGATGTGGGAGGAAAGGAACCTCATTGCACTGTTGGTGGGACTGTAAACTAGTACCAGCCCTCTGGACAGCAGTCTGGAGGCTCCTCAAAAAGTTCATATAGATCCTCCCTGTAACCCAGCCATATCATTCCTAGGAGTCTACCGTAAACGTCATGAGACATGCTAAAGACACTTGCTCATCCATGTTCATTGGCAGTGTTCACAATAGTCAAGATATGGAAACAGTCCAGATGCCCCACAATAGCTGGAGTGGATCCAAAAATATGGTTCCTATATACAATGGAATTTTACTCAGTCATGAAGAAAGTCCAAGATACGGAAACAAGTGTTAGGTTTTTTTTTTCTTTTGCGATGATGATCCTGTCTTTTCTTTATGTATGGCGTATTTGTGTATATATCTTCAGAAGGGTCGGAGGGAGGATGAACTCAAGGGAAAAGGGTGAAAGAGTACAGCAGTGAGCTAACTGGACACAATGAAAGTGAACTATACAACACTGGGGTGGATACAGGAGGGAGGGACTGAGAGCGAATGGGGAACAGAACACCCTGTGAGACAGGAAATGTTCTGCAATCCTAGCTACTGGGGAGGCTGAGATCTGAAGATCACAGTTCGAAATCAGCCCAGGCAGAAAAGTCCACAAGACTCTTATCTCCAACTGACCACCAGAAAACCAGAAGTGGCACTATGGCTAAAGTGAGAGAGTGTTATCCTTGAGCAGAAGAGCACAGGCCCAGAGTTTAAGCCCATGACCAAAAAAAAAAAAAAAAGAAAAGCCCAGCACTGGTTGCTCTCACCTATAATCCTAGCTACTGAGGAGACTGAGAGCTGAGGATCATGAATCAAAGCCAGCCCTGGCAGGAAAGACTGTTAGACTCCTATCTCCAATAAACCACCAGAAACCAGAAGTGGCGCTATAGCTCAAGTGGTAGAGCACTTGCCTTGAGCTGAAGAGCTAAGGGACAGCACCCAGGCCCAGAGTTCAATCCCCACGACTGACAAAAAAAAAAAGGAAATTTACTCACTGATCTGACTCAGGCAATTTTAATCCCCATGTATGTACATCACTTTTATAATAATATGGTAAATTAATAAACATTTTTAAAAATATGTGACTCTAGCTTGGCTCACACCAATAATCCTAGTTACTCAGGAAGCTCAGCTCTGAGGATCACCATTCCAGACCATCTTGGGCAGGAAAGGGGGCTGGGAAGGTGGCTCAGTGGTAGAGCGCTTACCTTGCATGCCTGAGGCCCTGGGTTTGATTCCTCAGCACCACATGAGCAAAAAAGAAAAAAGCCAGAAGTGGCGCTGTGGCTCAAGCGGTAGAGTGCTAGCCTTGAGCTGAAGAGCTGAGGGACAGTGCCCAGGCCCAGAGTTCAGGCCCCATGACCGGACCCCTCCCCCCAAAAAATACTAACACATCTTGGGCAGGAAAGTCCTTGAAACTTTTATCCCCAATTAACCACCAAAAAGCTGGAAGTAAGAATGTGGCTCAGGTGATAGAGCACTTAGCCTTGTGCACAAAAACTCAGGGACAGCACCCAGCAAATATTCAGTTGCTAGATAAGTCAATTACTCTCATCTGCTCTAACCTAACACTATGTATTGAAATCTGCATATTGCATGTGGAGTAAAAATAATAATTTTGTTTTTTGCCAATCCTGGGGCTTGAACTCAGGGCCTGGACACTGTCCCTGAGCTTTTTTATGCTCAAGGCTAGAACTCTACGACCTGAGTCACAGAGACACTTGCAGCTTTTTCTGTTTATGTGGTGCTGAGGAGTCAAACCCAGGCCTTCATGCAGGCTAGGCAAGCACTCTAGCACTAAGCCACATTCCCAGCCCCCACATAGTCATTTTTATAAGTAATCAAAGTTGAGTTCAGGTAACATCATCTGCAGTGGTTCCCCTGGGTTAAGAACAGTGCTGGCCACCCCCACCTAGTGCCCCCTTCCTGCTTACCTGGAGTGGGAGCTCACTCAGAGGCTCTAGCAGGACAGACTCCCAGAATGGACCTCAACTGCAGCCTTGCACAGACTGGCAGCTGACTGGTGGGCCCTAGCTTATATATACCTGGATGAGAGGGTGGGTATGGAGGCCACGCCCACACCAGGGTGGTGTCTCCTCCCTGGGGCAGGGTGGGCCACAGGGAGAGAAGGACTGGTCAGGGAGGAATATACAGTGCTGTGATTTGACCGGGTGGTTCACATGCACTGTGGATTAGCATGGTGGTTACATTTTGTTAAGTCTTTTATTTATTAATGTTTTATGTGAGGGAGTCCTGGGGCTTGAACTCTGGGCCTGAGCACTGTCCCTCAGCTCTTCAGCTCAAGGCAAGTGCTCTACCACTTAAGCCACAGCACCACTTCTGGTCTTCTGAGTGGTTTATTGGAGATGAGAGTCTCGTGGAGTTTCCAGCTCCAGTTTGGCTTTGAACTGTGATCCTCCCATCTCAGCCTCTTGAGTAGCTAGGATGACAGGTGTGCACCACAAAAACCTGCCCCGCTTTTTGTAAGTCTTCATTAATCCTTTTTTTGGGGGGGAGGGGTTCTGGTCCTGGGGCCTGAAATCTGGGCCCTAATGCTGTCCCTCAGCTCTTCAGCTCAAGGCTATCTACCACTTGAGCCACAGCGCCACTTCTGGCTTTTTTTTCCTTTTTGTTTATGTGTGCTGAGGAATCCAACCCAGAGCCTCAGGCATTCAAGGCAAGCGCTCTACCACTGAGCCACCTTCCCAGCCCTCTGAGACTCTTTTCTCCAATAAACCACCAGAAAACTGGAAGTGTCTCTATGGCACAAGTGGTAGAGCTCTTGCCTTAAGCTGAAGAGCTGAGGGACAGTGCCCAGGCACAGAGTTCAAGCCCCAAGACCAACCAAAAAGTCAATCAATAATAACAATAAGGTAACATTTCCAGCCAACTTGAGCAGGAAAGTCCTTGAGATTTTTATGTCCAATTAACCTCCAAAAAGCTGGAAATAGAAATATGGCTCAGGGACTGGGAAGGTGGCTCAGTGGTAGAGCACTTGCCTTGCATGCATGAGGCCCTGGGTTCTATTCTTCAGCACCACATAAGCAAAAAGAAACAAGCCAGAAGTGGCGCTGTGGCTCAAGTGGTAGAGTGCTAGCCTTGAGCTGAAGAG